GCTATCAGCTAGCTTATCAGTTAGTTTTACCAAACATAGCCATTGAACATGTTTGGTAATTAGCTTATTTGATAAGCTTTTTGGGCCCAAAACTCTAATTTAGAAAAAGCTCATTAGAGTAACTTTTTGGGATAGAGGATTTACAAAAATCATTTACTTTGAACTTTTTAATTTGTATTATTTATTTTACAATCTACATTGGTTTATGGTGCTAATAAATAATAATATGTCATCCATATGATTAATTTATCTAGAAAAATGTAAAATTCATAACTTATTCATCAAGTGTTAGTAAATTTAAAATATATATATATATTTATAAATTACCAACTAAAGAATATCAAATGTTTTAATATATTATTATTAAAATAATACACCCTAAATAATTAAATATCATTATTTGTCATTTTGCAATTTCAAACAGCTATAAACTTTCAGCTATTTACCAAGTACTTATTTAAAAACCGCTAATGTAATCCGCTGGTCAAATAAGCTAATATAATTCGTTATTCGCTATCCGCTGATACAATCCACTATCCGCTATCTGCTATCCGTTGATCGCCAAACAAGGCCATATATGAAAGCCCCAAAGAAATTTAAAAATTACTAATTTAAAAAATTTATAAAAACTTTAAAACGAGAAGAGAAAAACATTTATAATACTTAATGTATGGTTTAAATAAGAAAATAAAATATATTATATTGTAATGTAGGAAAAGGTCAATATTAAATGAAATACAAATTTAACTATTTTTGGATAAAAAATATAATTTATAATAAAGTCTAACTCCGAAGCATGAATTTTTTGTCAAAAAAAATTTCGAAATATGAAAATTTATCACTTAAACTCAACACATTTTGAAATTATATATTGGAGATAGATTTTTATGTGAGCAAGCTTGCCATTAAATAGGTATACTTCATAAATAAAAATGAATATTTATATTATTGTACGTTATACTTTTTCTTATGATAATTTTAATAAAAATATGATTTTTGTTTTTTTTTAAAGAAAATATATGACCTAATTGTTAGGCCAGCCTAACACAATACGTACGGTTTTGATTATTATTAGTTTATTACAAGAGGAGTATTGAGTCTATTTTATTCCAAGTTCTTTTTATTTCGTTGAATAAATAACACTCGTATAATCGTGACATTATAAATAACACTCGTGACTCATCTAATATAATAATATATAATTTTAAAATAGAAAATCTCATCAAATGAGTAATAAATTATCTTTAGTGTATTTATGATAATTCAATCTTGTAAATTTCATAGTGTAACATGATTCATTAATTAATATTTAATTACCTGCTCCTGTATCTAGTAGACACGGATTTGAGTTAAATTAAGATGAATTAATTTATATCATTAAGACAAAAATTGAGGATATCTATATATATATAATTACTAGCCAATATCATTTAATAAAACCTATTTAATAAAACCTCTAACTTTTTTCCCTCCATTTTCGGTTACAAAATTTAACATTAATAATTTTTATTTCCCACATTAATAAATCATATTAAGTGTAATCATGTATGTTTCTATTATATTATATAATAGTTATTGCTAATACTAACTAATGATAATTCACAATAAATATAAATTACATAATTATAAACAATTGTTTCAAATTATGTATTTTAACATCAATATTATATTTTTCTTTTGTAGCTCATAAAAATATTTCTTTAAAAACAATTAGTATATTGTTTTAATAGCATATTTAAACAACTTTAATATCTTATAAACAATTGTTTTTTAATAATATAATATATATATATATAATTGCTAGCTAATCATTAAATAAAACCTCATAAATAAAATCTAATTAATAAAACTTCATTTATTTTCCCTCCAAAAGAAGTTACAAAATTTGTCATTTATATTTTGCCTTTTATATTAATACATCTATTAAGTATAATCATGTAAAAAAATTAATAGCATTAACTATATAATATAATAGCAAAAAATAGCATTAACTACTACTATAATAATAATAATCATAATAATAATAATAATAATAATAATAATAATAATAATAATAATAATAATAATAATAATAATAATAATAATAACAATAATAATAATATTTTGAAACAATAAAATTGTTTATACTTATGTAATTTATATTTAGTGTGAAATGTTATGAGTTGGTAATAGTATTAACTATTATATAATATAATAGCAAAAAATTACATGATTACACTTAGTAGGGTGT